GTTTTATGATGTATAATAGTGTAAAATGCATACATTAAAAACTTGTAGATGATTTGAAAAGTGGAATTGAATGCACTTTGCTTAAATAATGCAACTGTTTTAAAACACAAAACTACCAGATTTGGTGATGTGTACAACTTAATAGTGATTCCCAATACTAGACTAATGAATTAAATGAATCTGTAGTTCAATTATGTTAACTCAAATTTCCCCAATCTGTTATCCTCCATATGTGTTGGGACTACAACTCCCAGAATTCCAGACTAAGAAAACTAACACATCTGGTATACAGCAGGTTGAGCTAGCTGATTTTTAAGAAATTTCATCTTACCATTTCAGTGGTATTATACTGCACATGAGAGCAGCTTACCCTCTAAGTGCTGTTTTTGCTGCTGCTAAGGGGTATGGAATTAGTATAGAAATTATTTATGATTAAATACATAAATTAAAGTTCCCTTGTTTATTCTTGTTTATTAGGCCTCTGAGTTGACTTCCAATGTTAGTAAACAGGAATTTAGTCTAAATGATAATTTGAGCATTTGTGTATTGCAGATTTTAGGACTCGTTACTATGTCGATCCAGCTATTAAGCTACATATAATACCTGATTTGAAAGACCAGATTATCTTGATGTATATAAAATGGTGCGGTTTAATCTACCCAATTTGGATTAGTTGTTGCATTATGATTTAGTTGGCCACCAGGTTATCCTTTTTATTAGTTCATCCTACTGGAATCCATTTAACTCATCATGAGAAAAATAGTGCTACCTTCTGGCTGACATTGGTACATGCTCCACCAATGGCTACAAATCGAATATTTAGCTGAAAGGGACCTCTGAATGTCCACGTCTTCCAGATAATCCCTGATATCACTTGATCTGTGTGACATTTGGATTAAAAGAACACAAGTTGCTTTGGCGTGCCCACAGACATTCAGGGCACCAAAGTGTAACTTCTTTAAGCAATTGCATCTTTTCCTGGGATTGTGTCACTGCCCTTTGTAGATGCAACAAGATTCTGGGAAAG